TCGGTGACGGGGAGAGGCTAGAAGCTAAACAGACCTCCGTTGCCTGCTTAAGAAAGGGGCGTTGGGTCCACAAGGGTCCACATCGCTTGGAGATCTTCACACAGCGCGAAGTCTCCTCCTCCTGGCGAGTTCTGTATCTCTCCAGGTTTCCTGTCTCTCCGACTTGGGCAGAAACTACCCAAGCCTTTTGTACGGCTAGCAAGCCAATAGCTAGCTGCCACGTATGCCTACATTTAGAACTGGCCAATAATGTGGCACAAATCTAAATACAAATGGCGGGAACTCCTTTGCACCGTGCATCACTATGATGCAAAAGAAATGCACCATGCAAAGGAGGCTACAAACGGCGGGAAATACTCTTTTGCACGAGGGTTCTCCTATTGCAGCAGAAAACTCTACCGTGCAAAAAAGCTGCAATTTGGCAGGAACATAATTTAGCAGTGCCGAAGCACACAAAAACAAAAAACCACAACTTTGGGTTGTGACAAAACCATCACTGGGGAGACCAAGTGCGCATGCGCTACAGTGCACAGCTGCCTCCCAGTCGGGACTGGCCAGGAGCACGCATGCGCACTTGGGAATAGGCGGCACCACCTTTGCTGATCAATGGGCAAAGCAAGTGCGCATGTGCGTAGCTGTTAGAGGCCGAACACGGAGAAGTGCGCATGCGTATCGCTTGGAGGCCAAACACATCAATTACCGGTACTGTGGATTAACGCATGCGTCCTGGTAATAAGGGGGTGCTGCCAAGTGCCAAACGCATTGAGGTTTCCGTGGCTACCGAGGCAGTGACAACAGGGCTGACCTCCAAAATTATCGAGGCCTGAGTTCCAACGCGCATGCATACTGGGAACAAACAGAATAGGCTCCCCGCGTCCAGTCATTAATCGCTCCCTCCCGTCACTCCGGGCCCACAACAGTCGCCGCGCGGACCCTGTGTCCCGGAAAACGCCCAGGGGGGAGGGGTCGTTAAACCACTGCGCATGCAGAGTATAGCTGTCGGATGACGAAAACGTCGATGAGCCGCCACTTGCCCGCATGCGCACTCGGGTACGGGTGAGCACCGCGCTTGCCCATCAATTGGCAAGGCAAGTTCGCATGCACATCACTGACAGGCTGACCAGCTGAACACCGAATTTATCGGTACTAGGTTAGCGTGCTTGCGCAGCGGGACCTCATCAGTCGCCGGCCCTTGTGGCCTGGACCCCGCGTCTTGTGGATCAGGTGCCTCCGCTCCCGTCTGAGCTCCTCGCGTGGGGCCCTCCTCCCGGCTCGGCCGCATCACTGGCTCCCTGGGCCGGTGAACTGGGCTTTTTCCGCCCCCTCCCCAGGTGACCAGATCATCCGCCTCCCAGGCACCAGGCTTTTGTCATGTAGACAGGGAGGGAGATCCCTGCCCTGAGGAATTGAACACCAGCCTCTCATGCTGGCAGAGACAGATGTCTGGAGAGGGACACAGATGGTGGCATTTCTGCCACAGTCATAACTTGCTCGGAAGTATCATGACAGGAGAAGAGCAATGGGATGAAACTAAAGAAGAGAACTTCAGCCGAGCGTTGGGAAAAGGATTTTTTGTAACAGAAAGGAAGGAGTCTTGTCCATTCCCAGTGGGTTTAGATTTATGGTGCAGGGTGACACTGTGGTCCGTGCCAAAGAGGGGGGGTTTGAGACAGTGTGAAAAGCTAGGAAGGAAATAGGATATTAAATTATTGAGTTCTACACCAACACTCCTGCATCCCATGCCATTCCTTGGCCACCTCCATTGCAGGACATTTCACTGCCACAACTTATTGTCTACGGCCTCCAAGTTGTAAGGGTGTGCCTGTATCCCTGGCACTTCACATTTCACTTTTAACTCTCTCTCATTCCACCTTTCTCTCGCCCAGTCCCCCCAAAAAGAACTTTCACAGGTAGTTTTGGATCAAAGATATATCACCCTAGACTCAGGTCTGTAAGGCTGACTGGCTCATGTTCCAAGCAACACTTGTCCTCACCCTTGTGGTCCTTTAAGCTCCTGGTCTCAAGGACTGTTGACACAGCCATGTCATGTCATGCCAGTTTCAGACTCAACATCTTCCACGGACAGTCTTTCAGAGATGTCCAATCGTGTTGTTTCATCCAGCTCCTGACTGGACCTCTGTCCTGAGAATGATGCTTCCGGCAACTGGGATGGCTCAGTGGAGTTCTGCATCTGCTCAGAAGTGCCAGACACCACAGAGCCCCATGCACTGTTGCCTCCATAGATGCAGCATAGCTAAGAGAAAGTGCCATTTCATCCTGAGCAACTGGTATCTGAAAGGGATTTAAAGGTCAAACAAGGAAGCCATTAGTTAAAGTCACATTTACAACTTCTCTCTCATAAGGCTACCTCTTCCCCTACCTGTTTTTAGACAACAAAGATGTTTTCTTTTGTTTTGGGACAAGATGTAAGGTTGCACCTCAAATGGTTAAATTGCCCCTTGAGAGCAAAATCAATTGCAACTCACGAGGCTTGGGATATTTTGGAGGGAGACTTCACAGACTCTTAAGGAGTTTCCTTTACATGTGTCCTAGACCTAAGGGTCTCTGCAGGATGGAACATGTCATTATACACAGTCATCAGGCAGTTCTTTAGCAGAGCTCCCAAACTACTAGTTAACTTGGAAACTCCTGCTATAATCAATGTGCTGCGTTTAGTCGGAGTTTTCTTGACAGATTTGTTGTTTGTTTTCGTCAACTGCCTGATCGCTGTCTCTGCCACACGATCCAAGCCATTGGACGTATGACTCTCCCCTATTCACAAAAAGGCACCCCTGAGCAGACAAGCCACTGGCAGACCACAACTCCTTTTAACATGGAGCCAGATAAGAGTGGGTGGGTGGTTGCAAGCATTAATAAATTTTTCAACATTTATAAATAAGGGATATAATGCTAACTCCCCGGCAACATTCCAATTCTGATCACTTTATTTGGACACCATCTCCTCCTTTCAGGCAGCTTTAGGTGCATATGGAATTCAGTTTCCATTCTGGTCCTGAACTCCCAACTAATTTCCGTCATGCCCTGCTTAACAGAATATGTTCTAGCCAAGGGCTGAGAAGCAACTCACAAATACAGAATTTGTGAAGCCCTCCAGGCTGAGATACCTTATGGGTATGCAAGATCAGCAACAAGGAACTTAGAGTTGACAACAAGTTTAAGTACTCCATCCTAACCTTCTTCCTCCCCGCCCCCACCCCCCATCATGGTATTTTTAAGTATTGTTTGAAGCAAAGGATGGTAAGCAGAGAGACAGTTAGCCATGTTAGCTTCAAGTCGAGTAATTGGCTGAGTACATAAGCACCCTATAAACTAACCAGACAGAGACAACATATACGTGCACACACGCATATGCATGTGTACACACAGAATTAGATAAAGTGAGCTTCATCCCATGATAGCCTTGTGCTCTGTGTGCGTGTATTTACACACATGCACATACTTTGGTTTGTCTTTAAGGTACAAATCTACCCTGCCTTCTACAAAGGACAATGTTAATTAAATGAGCTTCTCCTACAGTGGATACAAAATGGCCAAGAGAATGAGTTATATTTTGCCACTGGTAATGGAGCTTCTTGCTACTAAGGAAGGTCTCATGTATCAAAGGACATATGGCTGCTGCTGGGTAAGGTGTTGCTGGGACAGCTGCTCTCTGAAAGCACCATTGTTTTCTTCTCCATCGCCTCTACTTTGGACGGAGATCCTGAAGGTGAATCTAGACCCAAGAAAGAAAGGCACAAAGTCAGCAGTAGGAGGGACAGGACCTGCCTGAGGTTGCCTGCCTTTGAGGCACAAATTTGTCCATTACAGGGAAGACTTTGGCACTGGGTCCATCAAAGCCTTTCCACCCAACAGTGCGTAAAAGTGGGGAACCTTCTAGATCTTCATCAAACATGGAACAAGTCATGTAGCATCCCAGACACTGGTCACAGTGCACACTGGTCTCCTACCTGGTCCTGTGGAATGTGTCAGTGTTCCCACCTGGAACTGAAGCTAGGGAATGCTACCAAGCCAAGATGGAAAGCATTTGGTTCTATTCAGTACATGACAGTACTCAGCGTTGTGCACCAACATGAGGAACACCTAAGTTCAGCACCAGCCTTACTTTAGAGATGAGGAAATGGAAGCAGAGAAACTGATTTCCCCAGAGTCATACAGGAAGCTAGTAGCAGAGCAAAAATTGGCAGAAGCAGAGGCCCTGGGTGCCAAGTGTACTTTTCCAGTCACAGCATGATGCCAACAACAGAACAGCAGCATCGCTCAGTGCCAATAATCCCATTCCCACACCACAGGCTGCAGGCACCCCTCTCATTATCTATATGATGAGCACATTTGCAGGGACTGCTGCATTTGACAGCTACAGAAGCTAACCATATGCTATAGGACTAAGCCTAGTGAAATTAAGAGCTGCTTTATTCTCTCACTACAGATACCAGCAATGTGTCTAAGAGTTGCATACTAATCAGACCGTACCCAGCTTGCAGTCCACTTTGGGCCTGGTCTGAATGGTGGTGACAGTGGTCACAGAAGTGCCATCAGGCATGATGGTACAGTTTATCACATTCTTCTTGGTGGGGGCAATGCTGGTGAGGAACAATGCAGTATGCTGGGTACTCAGGGATGCAGGGGACTCTTGGTAGAAAATCTTTGAGAAGGGGATACAAAGGAGTCATGCTGAGCCACCGTCTGACCACCACCCAGGTACAAAGGCATTGGCTGGGATGCATAGGCCCCTCATAAGTCATAACAAAAGAAAATCCTACTGAGCTCTTCAGAGGATTGGGCTAGACATGGTTTAGTAATGACGATGCGTACTACATGACACTACAGAACCCCCCTGCCCGCTGCAATATTGGATGGGGAAAACAAATAAAAAATATTGTACTGGATTTGAGCAAATATACAGTTCCTACAGGAGGGTCAGGAGAAGGGAAACAGCAGTGCCCTATTTTCACCTCTAGAGATGCTACTAGAGCTTCCCAGAACCTCCTAGGTCACAACCCAAATTCCACCTCCTTACAAGGAGGTTCACCTATTGCAGCTGTTCCAGGGCAGGCACTTCACAGACTTTCCTAAGCCATAAGCTTACCCCCAACATAAGGGTAGCAACAGGTGCCACTAAATGTCCCACACCTGGGGTCAGTGAAAAGGCCTGCTTCCCAGAAGGCTGCTTGCTAAGGAGGTTAAGGAAGACTATGACATGTCCAAGCAGCACATCTGTGACAGGGAGAACAAGCACATGCCAGATGCCTTGAGCAGCTGGGCAGAAGCCTGGCAGCACTGCATCACACTCACCCCGCTCCAGAACACGGCCCTTCTTCACTCTTCTTTATTTGCAACCAGAATGTTATGCCATGGGCAACTTCCAGGTATCAGAGAAATTAGTAAGGAAAACATCTGTCCCACAACCCAGCTGGCAGAGGTCACATCTGAAAACTGTCAGAGCTTGTACTACATCTAAATCCCAATGAAGTATCTTTTCCAGAATTTGTTACCCACATAGCATTTCAGTAAGGCACCAGATCCACAAACTGAAACAGAGCAGCTCAGGTTTCCCTGCCATCCCAGGACAACTGCATGACCCTAACCCTTGTAAAAATTTAAGGGGGCCACTAGTGACACTGGGAAAGCCTATTGAACGCCACAGTTCTTCCCTGTGGGACCCATACTTGCTTTCACCCCCGCTGCCGATCCTCAATACCTGGAGCTTTAACTCTTTACTTTGTGGCCCCAGATCCCTGTCAAGATAGAAGCACTGGATTAGGCACATGCTGCAAGGCTTCCTTCTAGTTCTCACACATTCTACTCCTCCCCACCTGCCAATCCTATTGCTAAATCATTGCCACACATTTTCTAGATTCCATTTCAGGGTGGTTGTAGATGGGAGAGGCGAATGGGGGATGAGGGACTCAAGCTCCCAGTATAGTGGACTTACAGAGCTGCAGTCAGTCCGTGGGGAGGTGGAGATGGTGGGAGGAAGAGGGAAGTGGAGCTTCTACAACACAGTAAATTTTGGGAGGTCAGGAACTAAAAACTGTAGGGAAAGCAGGGAAGAAG